ATCTAGTGATAAACACTGAAAGGAGCAAGATGGAAGTAGACATTAAATGAAAACAGTAATGAAATGAGAGCAGAAAAATTCAAAATAGTATTATGCTAGCTACATCTTAAGTCAAAAAATGTCACATTTTTAAAACATACTTCAACTCAAAATTCCAAGGAGACAAAAAAGGACATTAAAACTTACAGATTTAGGTCAGGCACAGGGCATCACACCTGTAATCCCAGCATGTTGGGAGGCCGAGGCGGGAGGATCACTTGAGGTCAGGACTTTGAAACTGTCCTGGCCAACCTGGTGAAACCCCGTCTCTACTAAAAGCACAGAAATTAGCCAGGCATGGTGGTAGGCGCCTGTAATACTAGCTATATTGTAATCCTAGGTAATATTGTAATGATGTTCATATTTCTCAATGAAATCTACAGATTTAATACACAGTTTTTAAAATTTCTCATTGCATTTTTTAAGAAATAGAAACAGCAATCCCAAGTATATAAAATCTCTACAGACAATAAAGTACCCCAAAATATTGAAAACAAAACAAAACAATGCTGGTGGCATTACAGTTTCTAATTTCAAAACACATTAAAAGCTAGAGAATTAAAACAATTTGGTAGGAGTGTAAAGGTAAAAATGTATACTAATAAAATAGAATGGCCTGGGCGTGCTGGCTCATCCCTATAATTCCAGCACTTTGGAAGGATGAGGCGGGTGAATCATGATGTCAAGAGTTCAAGACCAGCCTGACCAACAAAGTAAAACCCCATTTCTACTAAAAATACAAAAATTAGCTGGGTGTGGCGGCAGGTGCTTGTAATCACAGCTACTCAGGAGGTTGAGGCAGGAAAATCACTTGAACCCAGGAGGTGGAGGTTGCAGTGAGCCAATATGATGCCACTGCACTCCAGCCTGGGTGACAGGGTGAGACTGTGTTTCAAAAAAGAAAAAAAAAATGAATGCAATAGGATGCAGCACATATATAAACTCTCACATATATGGTCATATAAAGTCATTTGCATACCCATAATTATTTTACCATTGTTACTGAAAGCCAATAGGTAAAAGCAATACAAATTTCTGTCACGAAATAGTTCAGTAAATGTATAATTTAAAATATAAAAATACCAAAATATTTACTCAAATTTTCAAAAAAGCAGGAAATATTCTAACTATAAAGGTAAATCTTGATGACATTATGCAAAATAAACTGAGCCAGCCACAGAGATGTTATGAGATACATACAGCAGTTACTCTTAGAAACACAAAACAGAATGGTGTTTGAAAAGTGCCAGAAAATGGGAAAAATTGGTACTTTTTTAAATGTGTATGACAAAATTTCTAGAAATATTTTATAAAACAATGTAAATATACTTAACATGCATAAAATGTACAGTGTTTTTGAGTCAGGGTCTTACTCTGTCACCCAAGCTGGAGTGTATGACATAATTATGGCTCACCGCAGCCTCAAACTTCCAGGTTCAAGTGATCCTCCCTCCCTCATCTCCCAAGCAGATAGGATCACCCTATGTCTGACTATTTTTTAAAATATTTTATAGAGATGAAATATCCATATGTCTCTCAAGCTGTTCTCAAGTTTTCGACTCAAGCAGTCTTCCTGCCTTGGGCTTTCAAAATCTGGGGATTAGATGTAAATCAGGACTATCACTGGCCATGAAAGGTACACTTAAATAGACATAAGATGGTAAATTTTAAAGAATTATAAATCTTTCCAAATATGACCTTCAAGTCACAAAAGTGTTTCTCTCATACAAAGAAATTATATATTCATTATTAAACACAAGGTAAAAATAAGACTATTTCCATGACTGCTCATTGAGACAAGATAAAGCCACCATTAAAAATCAGCTAAGAAAACATAAATACAAGATGAGCCATAACCAAAATTGGAGTTATATTTATAAAAACACACACATATAATCAGATTGTAATAGACATATGGCTGACTTATCTCTTAATTAAATCCCAAACTGACTTACCTGTATAAACAGAATTGCAAATTGTCTAAAATTGTAAAACCAAAAAACACAATAAACTTATGTTAAGAAACCTACACTGGACTGGGCGTGGTGGCCCAGGCCTGTAATCCAAGCACTTTGGAGGTCAAGGCGGGTGGATCACCTGAGGTCGGGAGTTCAAGACCAGTCTGACCAACATGGTGAAACCCCATCTTAAAAAAAGAAAAAAAAAAAAAAAAGAAACCTACACTGAGAAAAAACACTAATATGAAACTACAAAACAATGTTTACTCATAAAATCTGGTATGCAGAATTGATGAAGCATTAACAAATAATTTGTGTGGATAACTGCAATAGTTTACAGTAACTGAACTCATTGAAGATGACTCTTTTGAATCACTGGCATCCACTGTAATGCAGTAAAGTTTCAGATAAAATGCAGTGTAACCCTAAACAGAAGACTCTAATGCCAAACTTTTGATAAATAAGCATTTTAATAAATGAGATATTTTTATGTTTTAAATATATAATACTCTTACACAAAATAAAACTTCTCTAATCTAACTTTAGAAGCAAAGAATAGGTTTACATTGCTAAATAAAGAAAAAATATACCATAATGGACAGCAAAGAGAGAAAAAATATATATACATATTTTTTTCAGAATATATATATATTTTTTCAGAATATAATCATAGCCTCTGATATATAAAAAAATATTTGGAAATAATTTGTTATATTTTAGATATAGGCAGACAAAAGTGAGTGAAAATCCTATAATCTTTTTTATCTGCCTATTTTCCTTTTTGCCTGCTTACTAATTATTTAATTCACTCAGGCATAAAATGTAAATTCTAGTATATTGTCCTAAATCTCTAAATCTGAAATTACAGACTAAATCAAAATACAAAGTAAAAATGTACAGGGAGACTGACATCACTGAAATGGAAAAATAAAAGGTGTCCTATTTACCTATTTTCTGACAGCAAGAAAATTCATCAGCCATCCATAATAAAAATGCCTTTATGAGAAAAACAGGAAACATGGCTCCAACCTGTAATGACAGCTACATGGTACATAACTCAGAGAACTGCTTCAGGCCAGAATTTCAAGACCAGCCTGGGTTACGTAGCAAGACCCCATCTCCAAAATAAGTGCCCTTAAAAGAGCTTCGAGATCCAGAGAGGGATTTGTAAAACTCTGCTAATGCCCAGGATTGAGGAACATTCTTTTCAGAAAGCATGCTTTTATTCAGGTGGCAAACTACAGGATACCTGTTCTTGGCTATAGACCAGAAAATGGCCCATTAAACTTGATCCCACTGAGAATTCTGAACTTACCTTGTAATCATCCCAAACTCCTCCTATCCACAGTATGGGAGAGATCCTGCCCTTCCAGAGGCCTGAAGGAAGACACCCATTTATAGGCATGCCGGCAGGTCTGAAGATGTTGGCCCTCACTGTGGTCCCTGAAGCAGTTCCATGACTCAGTTTTAGTTCCCTGAGCCACAGTGCACGGCAAGTTCTGCTTCTGTAGAAGCCCACAGTGACCTTGGGAAATCCTCTCTGGTACTCAGTGGAAGCCAAACTCATCTACATCCTAATATAAAGCCTACCATATGCAGACCCAATTGCAGAAAGCTGCCCTACATTCTGCCAAACAAAGCCAAGTCCTAAAGAATATTCACTCTGTTCCAAAATAAAATGGGAATTACAACTACCCAATCCCCTTGTAACAAGCCAACTACATGTGGACCTTAATGCAGACCCAAAGGCCTTTGTGATCAAGCTACAGCCTCTCTACACTACAAACACATGGGGCATCCCATCACCCTGGGGACTCGACAAAAGACCTTCACTTTCTGAAACCAGTTTATAAAAACTTGAAGAGGTGTTTGCTCCTTCAAATTCACAGACCCAATGCAAAAGTATATTGTGCCTATTCTCAATGCTTCTATTTTAACACAGCACTGAAAGTAGGTGCAATAAAAATTGGCCAAAAAAAAATTTTTAAGTCATTGAAATTAAAGACAAAAAAGTACAAAGTTGTTTTATTTAGATCATTTGATCTTAAATTAAAAAAAAAACATAAACAGTACTTTAAAACCTAATTAAAGTAATAATTACACAATAAATTAGCAAAATAGAAAATTAACATAGAAGTATAAGTTATGGTTCCATACACTTTAAATAAACTATCTGATAAAATAGAGAAGGAAGGCAATCTTACAATAGCACTAAAATAATAAATTTCTAAGAACAAATGTAATGTAACCAAGGAGCTTAAATATATTTCAAATAAAAGATATATCAATTAAAAACTTGAAATGAAAAAAATAAATATAAAAACATTTTATGTCTATTGATTGAAAGAATATTGTTAAAGTGCCATGTTATCTATAGTGGTCTTTAGATTCAATAAACTCCCTATCAAGATTCCAATATTTTCTACAATAATACAAAATACAATTCTAAATTTCACGTAGCACTACAATAAATGTTGAATAGCCAAACCAATCTTAAAAACAAAGAAAAAAGCAGAACATCATAATTTATAATTTTAAACTATACTTAAAGACTATAAAAGACAAAATGTATTGTTCAGAAAAATTAGCCATACAAAAATAATGGAACAGAAACCACTACTCCCACACATCTTAGACATGTCAAAAGAGAACTTAAAAAACAGTTTAACATAAAGTTTCTCAAAATTATGCAGCCATCTCTGTGTTTTCAAAAACAATAAAAAAGTGATCATATTTTGCAGTCGCTTATATGCCACAAGCAGGCTGTCACTGTAAATGTGAAGAAAGATCACTGAAGGGAAAGTAAACTTTACAGATTTTTAAAAGATAATACAGAAGATGCTTCCATGTGAGAGTACAGAAAACCAAAAATAAAAAATCAGCCTTCCCAAAAACTATTTCCTTTGAAACACAGACTTCCAAATCATTTTAAGAATGGGCTTTTTTCTTATTTTATACCTCTCATCTGTGTCGTCTGTTGTACTCATTTTCACTCTCACCTACCTGGGGCTTCGGCTACCATCTCACGTCTCTTCACATTCCAAGGTTCTTTTCCTTGCTCCAGACAGGTGATCAGGTCTGGCTTAGAGGCAGCAATACCTGTTTTATTAAAAATTACATGAATCTTGCTTGTATTCTCCAATTACCAACCTAGTAGTGTGCTCAGTAAAAAGAATATAATAGAATATTCTAGCAAAATACCTCTAAAATACTAATTTATAACAAAAAATTTAAAATTTTTAGAAAATATTTCAATTTTGTAAGTTCTCAATTTCACTACCTGGTACTACTAAATCAAAAATTAGTGGTGGCAATCAGATTTTAAGATGTGGGCAACAGTATGTTATACCACTCAATTTCTAAAATTAATGCTAATCTAGAGTGAAGGACACAGATCAGCTCAGGAATGTGGAAAGTTCAGGGCAAAAACACCTTAAAATTCTTTTTTACTAGACAAATCTTGATTTTTGTTTCCTTAAACAGATCTGAAAGCAAAAATTCTTCTACAAAAAAAGAAAAAGAAAAGAAATAAAACTTAGAGTATACAGGAAATTGTGTATTGAAGTTATGCTCACCCAGGAAGACCAGGTTTCTGTAGTTCTCTAACATCACATTTCTGTATAAATTCCGCTGTGCAGTGTCCAGGCATTGCCACTCCTCCAGACAGAATTCTATGGCCACTTCCCTAAATGTCAACACTCCCTGAAAAACATACCCACACATGCATATTTACCAAGTGACCATGAGCAGAATTTTTTATTTGACTCAAGGTAAATCAAGAATAACGATAACTGGTTCTTACTTACAGGAGTGACTGACAATATCTAATAAATAACTTTCAACACAGTTGGCTGATCGATCCAAGATGGCCGACCACTAACAGCTCAGGATTGTAGCTCCCAGTGAAAGCTCAGAGAACGAGACGACGCCACACTTTTAGATGAATTTTCGTCACTCACCGATCAGCTGATTCCCAGTGGAGGAGCCCCACGGGTCGCCAGCGTGACTCTTGTGGCCTCCGCAGCGGTTTTGCCGGCGCCTCGGCGCAGCAGCTCTTCATGCAGAGCCAACGGGACTGCTTCCCCTACTGACCGGAGTTTGGAGCTCCGGGAAGTCAGAGCCACTTGTTGCAGATTCAAGAGGGAAGCCAGACCAGAGATTCCAGGGCAGAAGAGCACCATCAGTCTTATCGCTGCTATTTAGGCTGCCACAGTGGGTTGCTCGGATCCCAGCACTGGGAATCAATAAGTTGGACGTCGACTCAGAAACCTAATTAGAAAGGCAGTTCATCTACAATGAAGGGAAAAAAACAGCCTAAGAAGGCGGAGTATACTCAAAATCAGAACCCATCAGCAACAGAACAAGCCCTGATGGAAAAGGACTCATCAGCAACCGAACAAGCCCTGATGGAAAAGGACTCATCAGTAACGGAACAAGCCTTGATGGAAAAGGACTGTGTTCCATTATCTGAAGTAGGCTTTAAGAGGTGGATGATAAGAAACTTCTGGGAGTTAAAGGAACTTGTTCTAACCCAATGTAAAGAAACTAAGAACTTGGAAAAAAGGTTCGATGAAATGTTGAAAAGAATAGACAATATAGAGAGGAACACAAATGAACTTATGGAGTTGAAAAATACAACACGAGAACTCAGTGAAATATGTACAAGCTTAAACAGCCGAATGGATCAAGCAGAAGAAAGGGTATCAGAGGTCAAAGATCAACTTAATGAAACAAAACAAGACAAGAATAAAGAAAAAAGGATAAAAAGGAATGAGCAAAGTCTCCAAGCAATATGGGACTATGTGAAAAGACCTAATATACGCTTGATTGGTGTACCTGAATGTGACGGAGAGAATGAAGTCAAGCTGGAAAATACTCTCCAGGACATTATCCAGGAAAATTTTCCTAATTTAGCAAAGCAGGACACTATTCAACCCCAGGCAATACAGAGAACACCACAAAGATATTCCTCAAGAAGACCAACCCCAAGGCACATAATTGCTAGATTCACCAAGATCGAAACGAAGGAGAAAATATTAAGGGCAACCAGAGAGAAAGATCAAGTTACCCATAAAGGTAAGCCTATTAGGCTTACAGCAGATCTCTCAATGGAAACCCTACAAGCTAGAAGAGAGTGGGAGCCAATATTCAATATACTTAATCAACAGAACTTTCAGCCCAGAATTTCATATCCTGCCAATTTAAGCTTTACATTTGAAGGAAAAATAAAATTTTTTAGGAACAAGCAAGCACTCAGAGATTTTATTACCACCAGGCCTGCTTTACAAGAACTTCTAAAAGAAGCACTATACACAGAAAGGAACAACCAGTATGACCCTTTCTAAAAATACACCAAAAAGTAAAGAGCATTAACATAAAGAAGAATTTTTATCAACGAAAGGACAAAATAGCCAGTTAATATCAAATGGCAGCAACCCTAAATTTAAATCGACCAAATCTCCCAATCAAAAGATACAGACAAAATCTAACGGTATATCCAAAGATATACATAGACTCAAAATAAAGGGTTGGAAAAAAAAAAGTACCAACCAAATGGAGAGCAAAAATAAATAAATAAAAAGCAGGAGTTGCAATTTTCACATTTGACAAAATAGATTTCAAAGCTACAAGGATACAAGGGTAAAAGGATTAATGTAATAATAAGAGATCTTAACACCCAGATACATAAGACCCATAATGAGATTTAGATTCAACGAGACAGAAAATTGATAACGATATCCGGGACTGGAACTAAGATCCAGAACAAATAAACTCAATAGAGCTCTCCATTTTAAACACACAAAATATACATTATCCACAAAATCTAACGATATATCTAAAGATATACAAAGACTCAAAACAAGGGGATGGAAAAAAAACTCACCAACCAAATGGAGAGCAAAAATAAATAAATAAAAAGCAGGAGTTGCAATTCTCACACTTAATAAAATAGATTTCAGAGCTACAAGGATGCAAGGGTAAAAAGATTAATGCAACAATAAGAGATCTTAACACCCAGATACATAAGACACATAATGAGATTTAGATTCAATGAGACAACAAATTGATAACGATATCCAGGACTTGAACTCAGAGCCAGAACAAATAAACACAATAGAGTTCTCCAATTTAAACACATAAAATATGCATTAACCACTTTAAAAACTCAAAATATTGATCGGCCATTATTGAAACCCATTTTAGGAATGAAGTAATATTCCTTTTTCCCTCTTTTTCTTTTTTTCCCCTTCTTTTTCTCTTTTTCCCTCAAAAAAAAAAAAAACACACACACACAAAAAAAAAAAGAAGCTTGCCTTAAAGACCTAACCAAAAAAAAAAAAAAAAAAAAAAAAAGAATCCCTAAGGAGCAGCTTTGACAAACAGCTTCCTAGTGATCTTACTGGGAACGATTCAGATTTCAGTTCCCCCCAGTAGACGTCTATCACTGTTTCCCAAATTCTGTGTGCATCTGAGTAATCAAAGAATTTAAAAAACTGAACCCCAAATACTGCCCGGATCATGTAATCCAATAGATCTCAGTTGAGGAATTGACTTTATAAAATTTCTTTTTTTCTTCTTTCTTTCTTTCTTTTTTTAAAAAAAAAAAACAAGAAAAGAAACCTGAAGAACTTTCTAGCTATTAACCACATATAAACAAAAGCCAAAAAAAAAAGGAGTGACTGACAATATCTAATAAATAACTTTCAACACAGAAATATTCTCTAATGTATCCTCTAACTGTGAGGAAAGACAGTGGCGTAAGATCTTCAACATCAACATATAGATGGTACTTTTCTGGACAATGAAGTATAAAACTGAGGGCATAAATACATGTACATTTTTGAGTGCTATCTTTACATTATACAGAATGAGTTGGGTAAATTTTTCAGATGAAAAAGACATACCGAGTTAGAAAGTACTGCTCAAATTTTAATGTGTACAACAAAAGGCAGATCTTAGTAATGCAGATTATTTTTTCAAAAAAATCTGGAATAAAATCTGAGTCTCTACCAAGCTCACTACTAATGCCAGTGTTTTTGGCCAAAGAAAACTATTCTGACAAACATCCAGTAAGTGCAAGAGCCTGCGGATTTTTCAGTGTTTCTGGCCTGTAAAGAAAGATGAGAGCTTTCATTTTCCAAAGACAGATAAATGCAAAGAAAACCTAAAAAAGGTCAGCTGCCAGATTAAAAGTGATTGTTTATCCACATCAGCAGCATAAAGATACTTAATAATGAAGAGAAAAATAATTGTCTATTAAAAAAAAAACTGTCACAAAGCTCATTAACCAAGCGAGTTATTAACATCAACTGCATGAATACAAATTTCTATGATGCGCTGAGACAAATCAATTCTATGGTGTGCAGAAGGTTACAGCATCACTGCCCCTCAAAAGTAAATTATAGTCTAAATTTAATGATAAAGAAACATCGGTTTGGCTGAGCGCGGTGGCTCATGCCTTTAATCTGAGCACTTTAGGAGGCCGAGGCAGGCAAATCACGAGGTCAAGAGATCAAGAGCATCCTTGGCCAACATGGTAAAACCCCATCTCCACTAAAAATACAAAAATCACAAGCATTTCTATAAGCCAAGAAAGAACAATCAGAGAGTCAAATCATACATGAACTTCACAACTGCTACAAAAAGAATAAAACACCTAGAAATATATTTAACAAGAAATGACAAGGCCCTCTTCAAGGAAGTCAGAGAGTACACAATCAAACGGAAAAACATTCCATTTTTATGGACAGAATCAACATCAGGCTGGGCACGGAGGCCCACACCTGTAATTCCTAGCACTTTGGAAGACCAAGGCAGGTGGATCACCCAAGGTCAGGAGTTTGAGACCAGCCTGACCAACATGGAGAAACCCTAACCAACCTGGAGAAATCCTGTCTCTACTACAAATACAAAATTAGCCGGGTATGGTGGTGCATGCCTATAATCCCAACTACTTAGAAGGCTGAGGCAGGAAAACTACTTAAACCCAGAAAGCGGAGGTTGCAGTTAGCTGAGATCAAGCCACTGCACTACAGCCTGGGCAACAGGGCGAGACTCCATCCCAAAATACCCAGGAAAAGAAAAAAAAGAAATACAGGGCGGCGTCGGCCGGGGAGGTCAGGGAGGCCGCGACACGGTCACCGCTAGCCTAGCCGAGCCGAGCTGAGCCGCGCCGATCGCCATTTGACCCCGGCTCCCGTGCAATCCCGGCCAGCAGCGCCGCAGCCCATGGAGCTCGAGAACATCGTAACAAACACGGTGCTACTCAAGGCCCAGGAAGGTGGTGGTGGGAATCGCAAAGGCAAAAGCAAGAAACGGCGGCAGATGCTCCAGTTCCCCCAAATCAGCCAGTGTGAAGAGCTGCGGCTCAGCCTCAAGCGTGACTACCACAGCCTGTGCGAGCAGCAGCCCATCGGGCACCTGCTGTTTCGACAGCTCTGTGCCACGAGGCCGGAGCTGAGCCACTGTATCACCTTCCTGGATGAGGTGGCCGAGTATGAAGTGACCACGGATGAGAAGCGGAAGGCATGTGGGCGGCGGCTAATGCAGAATTTTCTGAGCTACATGGGTCCTGACCTCATCCTGGAGGTCCCCCAGCAACTGGTGATGAACTGCGCCCAGCGACTGGAGCAGGGGCCCTGCAAAGACCTCTTCCAGGAACTCACCCGGCTGACCCACGAGTACATGGCCCCATGTGCCGACTACCTCGACAGCATCTACTTCAACCGTTTCCTGCACTGGAAGCGGCTAGAAAGGCAGCCAGTGACCAAAAACACCTTCAGGCAGTACCGAGTCCTGGGCAAAGGTGGCTTTGGGAGGTGGGCGCCTGCCAGGTGCGGGCCACAGGCAAGATGTAAGCCTGCAAGAAGCTAGAGAAAAAGCGGATCAAGAAGCGGAAAGGGGAGGCCATGGCGCTGAAGGAGAAGCAGATCCTGGAGAAAGTGAACAGCAGGTTTGTAGTGAGCTTGGCCTATGCCTGAGACCAAGGACCGCTGTGCCTGGTGCTGACGCTGATGAACGGAGGTGACCTCAAGTTCCACATCTACCACATGGGCCATGCTGGCTTCTCTGAAGCATGGGCTGTCTTCTACACCTCCGAGATCTGCTGCGGCCTGGAGGACCTGCACCCGCAGCGCATCGTGTACAGGGACGCCAGAGAACATCTTGCTGGATGACCACGGCCACATCCCCATCTCCGACCTGGGACTGGCTGTGCATTTACCTGAGGGCCAGACCATCAAAGGCCGTGTGGGCACCGTGGGCTACATGGCTCCAGAAATGGTGAAGAA